GCCGGGCCGGGCCCCGTGTGTCGCCGCCGGGTCCCCTCCTGCAGCCCCGCGGGGAGTCCTCGGGGCACTGAGCGGCCGCCCTTCCCCAGGGGCCCGTAAGAAGCGGGGATACCGCTGCCCGCCGGTCCGGCGCTCTCCCCTCTGGCCGCCTTGAGGTGGGCTTCCCCGCGAGAGAGTGGGAGCCGCGGGGAGGGGAGAGGGGCCCGAGGAGGGGCGCGCGTCTCCCTCCTCGTCGCCTCGCTGGGTCTTTTGACGTCCCACGGTGTTCGGCGGCTCTGCGGTAACTTGCCAGAGCTTTGCTGTTCGAGCCTCTTGGCGGTTACGCTGCTCGATGCCCCTTACCTCGTCCTTTCTCTGCCCTCGCTGCGCTCCAGCGGAGTTGACACTCACCAGGGTGAGGGAGCTGCCTCGCCTTAAAAATCCTACTTACTTTCATTCCACCTTTCTTAAGTGACTTGTAGGATCCGAACTCCGGGCCGCACTTTTCCTCCTTTGAAAGATGTCTTTTAAAGGGGCTTTTTTCTATTTCTGTTTAAGGATTTCTGTCCTTTGCTTGAAGTCTGTCATCTGCCAGTAGGATGGTTCACTTCTGTACCAAACCTTATATGTCACTTGTTTGATTCACAACTATACTTCTGCTGTCTGATCTCTCTACAAATGCGTGTGGCTCTCCCAGCTCTTGACTACACAAGAACTTTCATCTCGCTCTGAAGCCTGAGACCTCTTTATGAAAAGTCCTTTTTCCACTCTGCCATCTCCTCCTCTGCCAACACGTAGGCATGTTATCTCAGTTGCATTTTTACAAAACCGTTATCACTGTCCTTTACGCCTGTCTTCACTTTTGTCCCAAAGGGCTAACATGGTTCCTGCCTGTTGTCACACCTTTTATTGTTTACTTTCTCTGATGGTACAGCCCGTGACTTTTCAAATGCATCTAGATTTTGTTAAAACCTTAGTAAAGTCCTTGGCCTGTATCTTGATTATTTGTTGGAAAAAAAAATAATTTGAAAACATCTGCATTAACTTCTGAATACTTTTCTGAGAAGAATATTTATGTTGTTACATTTACGTTAGCAAGATGACTGTTCACATTATAAGCAATTGTACATTTCAAAGGTTGACACTGATAGCACTATTTTGTGCTATATAATGCTAATGTCAAGAACTTATCTGGTGGTTTTATAGTATAAAACCATTTTGATACTTATTTTTCTGGTAGTTAAAAATGTGTTTTATAACTAATGTGATTAGAGTTTTGTGATAATAAGCCGGCACTTACAAAATCAGTAAATATACTTTCTATGTTATTGTTTGTCTTTTAGGGCTTCCAATTACTTCTGGTTTTAATGATTTGCATTTTACAAACAGAATAGTTCCCAAGTTACAGTGCTCAGCAGAGCAGCCCATAGTGAAATCTGGGCACTGTAATGCTGCTCAGATTTTTGTAGGCTACCCTAGAGGCAGACTGTAGCTAATTTCACTTTTGCTCAGGGTCTCAAAGTACAGAAGTAAAGGGGAGCAGTGCAGGATTAGGAAATGCGTGCATTTGAAAGGTGGAGTGACAAGACTGTCAAAATTATCCCATACACTGTGTAGGATATATAAGAATAAGCATTTCTTTTCTGGTACACTTACTCAGATTTTCTTGATGATTGTTCATGTCAGTCTTTGGACCTGGGGATTCTAACCCTTGATATTCTGTCATATAAGAATAAAAATTATTTTATGTTTTTAATCTTTTTCTGTTCTAGGAAGCAATGTTCTAAAAATGTCATCAGGCATCCAAATAAAACCAAAGACTGCAGTACAGAAAAGCAAGACATCTTCTCCTTTGTCGTGTTCTCCAGAACCTGCAATAAAACCACAGCCAAAGCCTAGTGACAAGCTGAATCCTAAAACTATTGATCCGGTATGTATAGGTAGTGGGTTTTCTGTTTGTTTCTTTAAAACAGGTCTCTTGTTGGAAGAAATTTCCTTACTTTATGAAATACATGCAGGGCATGCTTCTTCTGGTCCTGTTTTGTAAATGTAAACTTTTGTTATTAATCATACATTCCCTAATTTCTAAGCTCAAACGCCTGAGGCGTAACATGTTCATTGCTTTTCTGAAAAAGGGGGGTTAGTACAATTGTGGCTTGGATGGTAACTTTTTTTATTTTCTATGTACTTTTGCCCTAAAAAGAGATCTAGAGTGAAGAGTTAAAAAGAGTTGGGGGGAGGGGTTGTACAGTTATAAATTTTGGCACCTGCTGCTTTAGAGGAACTGATCTCAGTTATGCAATGAAACCAAGAATCAGGTAGCATCTTGAAGATCATCAAGACCTCATAAAATCTAGCAAATTAATTGCTAGTGAGCATTACTTGAAACTCCCAAGTACTGTAAATATGTAATACTTTGGGAAGAATTTGGGCTCTCGGGAGAAGACTGATGAAAGGAGTTATTTCATGGAAGTCCTGTGTCTGGAGAACTAGCTTTGGGTGGGTGAATTATAGCTCACCACTGGACCTTATCAGCCAAACAATTAGTAATGTCACAGCCTTTTTGGAAAACAAACTAAATGCAGGAGCATTTTGGTGAGGTACAAAGGCTGAATATTTTCATGTGGGCATTTTTTTCTTGAAACCTTTTTGCAAGTAGTACAATGACTTAATTAAGCCAAGAAGTCATCAAATCATGCACACAATTTTAACAATATTAATGTAGGGTCAAACATTCAAAAGATAAAAATTAAGATTTCATGGTATTTCCTGCTATATGCTTTGTGATAAGGTGTTTAATCTGGGAAGTATTATTGAGTGGTCATGCTAATAAATAATATCATAGTTTGTATGTGTAAGAAGCATGTATATGATAAAAACCAACTTTGTGCAGGCTTTCCTCCCGTGAAGCTCCTAGTTTCCTTCTCCAGTGTGTCCTTCCTAGATTCTCACTCAGTATGAACCTCCCTGCTGATTTTCAGTGCCCTCATACCATTTGCCCAACATCTGGTGTTTCTCCCACATCTTGCCACCTTGTACTTTTGTCTGTACTCTGATCAAGATGGAATTGGAGTAAATCTGCCTTCTGCGTGTTACTAGTAAAACAACAATAAGAGCATCAAGAAACTGAGAGGTCCTTAATCTGTTGAGGAGAGAACCCATAAGACTTCAGTGTTAAGATTTGCACGAGGAAATAGAAAAATTAGGGTATTCCATCAGGAGAGCATTGATTCTACATTATTTATTAATTTTCACAACTTCCTAGTCAGACAATTCCGAAAAGTAGTTTTCTGATAAACGTACCAAATACATGTTTTTCACCCCATAGCTGCAGTTCTTTTTTTGATTAGTTTTAGAATCATATGACTGAGTTCCTTTTTTGGTAACCTGCAGTTTTAACATATTCATAATAGTTATCAAACATTACTGTTATGAATAAATAATGTTTTGGGTTTTTTCTGTCCTCACAGTTTGGTGCTTATTCTCGACCACCTTCTGCATTTGCTGCTATATACGCTAAAGGTGGCATTCCATGCAGGTGTGTTGGTTTTGTTTATTTTTTTACTAAATATATATTATGGTTAGGTAGAATTACACAGATTGAAATACATTTATTCATGTTTGATCTTTTAGTTAGGCTGTTTGATTCCATTCATTTCTGAAAAGATTTCTGATACTTAACTCTTTTCAAAGCGGAAAGCAATTCTACATGTCTTCTTTGAAATTGTCTTATTTTGGTTCTTTTTTTATGCTGTGTTAATACTGAAGCTGCATTTTTAAAGAATAGCTAGATATTTGCAGATTTGGTTTGCTAAATCTCTTTCATGAAAGAAGTTGATTTCTTCAGGTAATGGTGTTTACTCCTCCCCACTAATAAGGGACAAAGATAATAAAATTAGTGCCATTTTAGTAAGTAGACATCTTGCAGTCTTTTTTTGTCTGATGTAAGTAGTATGGCAACATTTTCTTGAATATTCCAATTCTGTAGTTGTCAGCAGTATCAGATATTATCAAAACTACTTGTAAGTAATAATTTGTGGTATTTTAAGTTACTGTTGTCTGTTATATATTTGCCTAGATAATAAGCATTTTAGTGTTTTATCAAGTGAATGCAGAATTACTTAGCACAAATTTAAGTAATCATTATACATGTATATACATGTATAAAATAATCATTAATACATGGCCTTTATTTATATCTTAGGAGTAACTGATGAATTCCAATATGATTTTCTTTCAGTTTCAACTGATTTCCCTTACCAATTGTTATTTGAGGAAAATGTTTCTTGATATTTATCAAAATAAGTAACTTTACAAAGGGAGCATCTTCTGTGTTGGTATGAGAGGCATCTACAATTTTTATAATTTTTATTTTCTGATTTCTATGTGATTGGGAGCAGAATTTTGAAAACTGCCATATTTGGGAATTATAATAATTGCACTGTTAAATACCATTAGACATTTCACTAAGGAGAGCGGTATGTATTGAGATTGTGTATATAATATAGTAATATTGCAAACCAATTGGTGATATATTTAAAGTTAATAGTGTTAGCAATAAATTATGTATCATTATATATTAATTTATTAAAACTTTATTCTTTATATAGGTTAGTGCATGGCTCAGTAAAGCACAAACTGCAATGGGAATGCCTTCCTGAAACTGTTCCCTTTGATCCTCTTCTTGTAACATTGGCAGAGGTAAACTCAATTTTCTTGCAAAGTTAAGAATACAGGATTTCCTAATTGCAAATAGTATTTTGTAACAAGCTAAGCTGGCTAACTTAGATTCACCTACTAGGGAAATATGAAAAAAACATTTGTGAGGATCTTGTAAGAATTAAGATGGTCAAGAACAATGCCATTTGTAGTTCTTTAGTTAGAGCATTCTGGGAGAGCTAGGTAGAGCTATTTAATCCTTGACATACTGGCCAAATACGAGACTGCACCTCAGATTCCCAACTGTCAAATGAAATAGTGAATCCATTTGTGGCTTTGCAGGTTCTTTTGTAAACAAAATAGTTTTGATTCTTTTTGTGTATAAAGCCTACCTATTGAAGTAAGAGTATTCTCCTCAATAGACTGAGCTAATACAGTGGAAGTAAGATCCTGTAAATAAGTGAAAGAGAAATACTATACATTATGTTCAGGCTTCTGTTTTCTCAGCATCATCTGTGACATTTATCACCAAATATGTTTCAGGAGTCTAAATAAATGTTGAATCCAGTGTGGTAGATGGAATAAAGTGCATAGTTTAGAGGTGGCTTTTGTTTTTTTTTTTCTTTTAAGATTGAACAAAGCTGTCATTTCCTAAAGTAACCTAGAGCTCCTATGTCGTGGTTTAACCCCAGCCAGCAACTAAGCACCACGCAGCCACTCACTCACTCCCCCCCCAACCAGTGGGATGGGGGAGAAAATCAGGAAAAGTAAAACTTGTGGGTTGAGATAAGAATGGTTTAATAGGACAGAAAAGAAGAAACTAATAATGATAATGATAACACTAATAAAATGACAACAGTAGTAATAAAAGGATTGGAATGTACAAATGATGCGCAGGGCAATTGCTCACCACCCGCCGACCAACACCCAGCTAGTCCCTGAGTGGCGATTCCCTGCCCCCACTTCCCAGTTCCTATACTAGATGGGACGTCCCATGGTATGGAATACACCGTTGGCCAGTTTGGGTCAGGTGCCCTGGCTGTGTCCTGTGCCAACTTCTTGTGCCCCTCCAGCTTTCTCGCTGGCTGGGCATGAGAAGCTGAAAAATCCTTGACTTTAGTCTAAACAGTACTTAGCAACAACTGACAACATCAGTGTGTTATCAACATTCTTCACATACTGAACTCAAAACATAGCACTGTACCAGCTACTAGGAAGACAGTTAACTCCATCCCAGCTGAAACCAGGACATCCTATTAGGGAAAGAAGAAAGACTTCAGCCATAGTGCTTTAAATCTTCGAGTTCTGCCAGTCAGGTCTTCACTAGAAGTGCATATTTGTACCATCTACAAGTTTTCGGTGTTGCAGAGGGGCATGTGTGGTGGTGTGGTGGTGGGTGTATTTCCTTCCATAGTTCACCTTCTATTTTTATTTGTTTTTCCTTCAGGGTACGAAAGCCATTTACAGATATAGCCTATTCTTGTTCATGATCTTGTTGAAAAATTATCTTGGGTAGTTAGATTAAAGGTAATGAAATACAAACATTGATTGAATTGGCAGTATTCATAATGTGAGTTTTAATATTCAATGTTCCAAAAGAAAAATAAATAAGAATATTCTGTGAGCAGAGTTGTACTCAATGGCTCCACATGGTGGAGTTAGTGTATTTTATGTTTTGAACTAAAGTAACAAAATCTAAACATTATCTTGCTGCTATGTGGAACTTTTTTAATGTGTTTCTGTTTAAAACAAGGCTCACTATTAAGCAAATATGTTTTACATTTGCAACAGGGTCTAAGAGAGACAAAACATCCCTATACATTTGTTTCAAAGGAGGGTTTTAAAGAATTACTTATGGTTGAAGGTGCTACTGAAAAAGCAATTCCCTTGTTGCCTCGTCTGGTTCCAGTGTTAAAGGCTGCATTGGTATGTCTTACTCTTCATGCAGAGATTTTAATGGGTTTGATTTTTATTTTTTTCCCTTGTGCTGGTGAGGAATACATGGAAAATATTGTGATAAATCTATTGCATGGGCTTTTGGTTTGGGGCTTGGGGGGTGGGAAGAGTTTCTTTTTCTCATGTTAACCCTGCCTTGGTTTTATTAGCTAAATATGTCTTTAACTGTAAATTCAGATGGGCAACTCCTTGTATAGCTGTATGTCAGTAGCTATGGGCAAATTCTGTGGAAATATTCTATTAAAGATCTGAATATAAGCAGAAATAAATATATGTATTGCTGGTGGTTTTATGTATCCACATAATAACATGCAAAAAAAAATAATTGAGGTGAAGTAAAATGGAGATGTGGGAATAAATACTCATCTGTTACATTTAAAAATTCAAAACATGCTACAAAGATAAAACAGAATATGCCAATGAGGGAAAGGGAAGAATACAGTTAAAATGTTTGAGGTCATATTATTAATTTTTAAAATGTTTTTAACTTTTTTACTCCCTCAGAGAATAAAGAGAGGTAAAAGTATTGGCCTCGAAGGTAATCATCTCTTTTGGATCTTTTTCATATCATTCAGAGCCCTTTTCTGGTTCAGCTACTTGCTGTCCTTTAATCTAGCTGTGTTCCAGTTCTGGTTTTATACAGATGGCTGACAGTTTGAAAATTCTTTGTGATCTCAGATCAGAGGTGTCATAGAAGATCAGAATTGTGCGTTATCAGTATCTTTGGTATAGTTTGGAAGACAAAATTAGAAAAAGTTATTGTTGTCTGTTCTTCCAATTACTGCTATTCATCTGATAATTTTTATTGTTGCACTATTTTGGTATAAAGTCTTGTTAAACCTACTACACAAGCAGTGGATGACTTCTAGTTAAAAAAAAAACCAAACAACAAAACAAAACAGTTCAGGGCCCAAACGTCAGAGTGCAAAAATAACTGTTTAAATAAAGGTCAGTATTAGTACAAGAACAAAATTAATTGTTCTGAATCAATTTGTCTGCTAAAGCAAGAGTGAGATATCTAAACCATTAGAGAACTCAGGTATAGAAGAACCTTCCCATGGGGGTAATGAAGATGACAAAGCACCCTAGAAGCAGATAAGAGCCTGATAATTGCTGGCAGATGACAAAGCTGTAGTTGGCAGGGGACTAAATTAATTTAGTCAAAAAGTCATTGGCTCCTGTGTTTCTCCAACAATGACAATTATTGTTATGAATTACATAGAAATTACCCTGAATTCATTACATTTGTAACTAAAATGTTGTCTCCCAGTTTCAACATGTCCACGTTTGAAGGGTTCTTTCTAATATGCTGCAAAGCACTGAAATTGTTGGTGTAGTAAACTGTTTGTTTTGCCTGCCGAATTTTTTATTTCATCAATAATAAATTATTAGTTTCTTTGTCTCAGAAGAAATGCAAGAGTTTCACTGACATTTTGTGGATATTTTTGTTTTCTACTTTAAAAACATACTTCTGTTTTTAAATGTTACCTCTGGATAATAATATTCAGCCATATTGTACTTGTATTTCTAAACTTGTAACATTATAACAATTAACAGTTGCACAGTGGTTTTAATTTTTAAAAATACTTTATACAATCATAGTGTAGAGATTGCCATTTATGGAGAGCTTGTGCATTTATCTGAGTATTACTGACAGGATTTTCTTTTTTCCCCCTCGGAAGGCCCATTCAGATGATGAAGTATTCGGAAGGGGATTGGATGCTTTAGTTCAACTGAGTGCTGTTGTTGGCCCATCTCTTAATGATCATCTCAAGCATCTACTCACAAATGTAGGTTTTGAATGCTGTAGTAAAAAATCATCTGTATTTTTATGGTACTTCTGTTGAGATGTTTACTATAATATCTGCACAGATACAGTGGAGGACTCAGCAGTTCCATAAAAAGCATTACTTCATATATTCCTCTGTGTAAGTAAGTCCATCATTCTTTAATAATATGGTGACTTCCAAAGTTCTAGCAAGGTCCAAAAACTGTTGTTAATGTAAACTGGAGAATAATGGAAGTGTTGTCTCTACTATTTAAAAAAGATCCAGCTTCAAGCCTGAGGTGAAATAGATGCTATGTTTTGAAGGGAAGTTTATGTTTATTGCAAAATGAGGTTTGCATTTTAAGTGTGAATATTTTAAAAAATCTGTGAAAGTTTCAACAAATCAACATAAGCAAATGTTTCCACTTTTTCAGATGGGAATTCTGCACAAGGAAGTATTCATTACACAAACTTAGAGTGGAATTATGGAAAGTGTTTTTATACTGAGTCCTTCTGTAGACATCCTTCCTCTGTTAGACCAGCTTTTCATGGTTTCGTTTAGCTGGCTTCCAAAGTACAGGTTTAGAGCAAAATAAAAGGACCTTTTAGACATACAATGCAGAAGAGAGAAATTGCAGTAGGTTTTTTTAAAAGTATTTCCACTATAATAAATCTCTTTCAGTGCACGTGAAAAATGTGTTAACCCTTCATATGGACAACACTTTAAGAATGACTGTTTTTTAAGGTTGATACCTCTTTAAAATTTGTTTGCTAAAAGACAAAAAAAATTAAAATAAGTATTTTTTTGGCTAACAGTTGAGCTTTCTTTGAATTTATGTTTCTCAGCAGTTAACATTTTATTCATTTTGCCTTGACTGAGTTCCATACTTTGACATCAGTCACAAGCTATAAAGTGATGTTTCTTTTTGGCTTTAATTTTCCAAAGATAAGATCAAATAAACTAATAAAATAGAATTATATTGGCCTCTTTGCATATATTGTACTATATTGTGCAAGAAACCTTTTTATTTTACTTTTCCAATAGCTTTCAAGGAGATTAATGGACAAGAAATTTAGAGAAAAAATTACCGTTGCTTTACAAAAGTTGGAACAATATGGTGGAAAGGTGAGTTGATCAGATGATTATTCTGTAATCTGCACATTTGACTGCAACTTTGCCAAAACAACTTCCATCTCTGGCTTTCAGATTAAGAACCCCATTGTGAAAACTGTTTATTTTTATGTGTCATAACTATTCATATTGCATAAAACATAGGATTTTGCACTGTGGCAATCAGCAGAGTTGTGTTCCAGTCCGTAGTAAAATAGTTGGTTTAGTCTGTTTGATGTATTGAGTGGTAATAGAAATGACATAAAATCTACTCTCGGTAATCCATATTCTGCCAGTTAGGTTTTGTTGTCTCCCATTTTTTATCTCCCACTTTTCATTTGTATTCTCTATTGTTTTAATCTCTGAGCAGGAAATACAGGAGTATGTCTCAAGTAAAATATTGCAAGGGATCCATCCATACATAAGAAGCTGCATGGATGGACTCTTACAGCACAGCACACCAAGCCCTGTTCAGGAGAACTCCTTTTGGGGAGCAAGCATGCATCCTTGTGGATCCCTGCCCTTGATATTTGCTTGGAACATTTTATTGTCCTGGGTGGGAAGCTTATGCAGACTTAGTGGTTAAATGAGATACTTGCCGTTCTTGGAAATTCTCCATTTCTGTAGAAAGTCTAAATTTTTTTTCCGGGGTTTGAATTGGTGTGACAGATGGGTTACTTGCGTGGGGTAGGATCCAGGATGCCTAACATAAGTCCTTACTTCAAGTTAGACGTTGCAGGGAAAGTAGATGCTTATGCTGAGTAAAACTTGTGAGCTTCTTGTGCAAACCATAGGGTAGGCTAGATGCCTATGAAGAGTGATCCAGGAATTCACCACGTATCAACTAGTAAATAGCTTCTGGCCCCTTCTGGAGTATTGACACTTGACTCGGGCTGAATATTTGTCTTGCTTCAATATGCCTGGGATGCAGGCTTTGTGTTCCTTTTTCTGAGCCTAAATACTTTTCTCAACAGGATTTATCCTTGCTAAAAGATACTTTTTGCTGTTATTGATGATGCCTGCCCATTCCCACTAATGGCTTATTATTTAAGTTGCTTACTGAGGAAATCAGATATTCACATTCCAGCCCACCCTGGTTAACACGGAGGTTAGATCTGCAATTGCTATAAATCAAAAACTGCTTTAAGTAATAGATGGCATTCTTCTGCTGAACATTCTGTTGCTATTTTCTGTTGTGTTGTACATTGTGCAGAAAGGAGGAGAGAAGAAAAAGTGAGAGAGTATTGGCTTGAATATTCATCTAGAAGAGAAAATGTTTGCTTTCTTGACCCTATGAACACTTGCATGTATTATATTAAATGGTCATTGGTAAAGAATAGGAATAACCTAAAAAGTAGGGACCATAAATATAGGTCTACCAGTTCTGAACTTGTGTGCCTTAATCAGTAGGCACCCAAGTAATCAGTAGGCACCACTTCATTTTTTTTGTGTGTCGCTCACATTCATTTAAGGGCAGTAGCAGTGTTTGTAGTACAGACTTGAAAAACATCATGACAAATAAAGAAGTATGAGAGTTTTTTATTTATATGTAGTGAGACAAGAAAAGGAAAATTACTTCTCATCTCTTACTTGATGTTCTGAAAATTTCAGTCTAGATAATGTAACTAATCCAGTGAATCATTAACCTCTAATTCTTCTGTCTGTCCCCTGATTTCTTGTAGTCTTACCAGTTTTGTGAGTAGGTCTTTCTGTGTGTCTTTTAAAAATACTGTAATAAGATAAAGCAGAAAACTGGAAACAAACTCCTAAATTGTTATTACAAGCAATATTATATAATCCAACTAATGAATTTATCAAGTTTCTATTCTAAATGAGTTATAATGTATATGATTCTTACTTTTACTGGAAGTCCCTTCCAGAATATCACTCCTCTATTTAAAAATCCTTATTATTTCATGTCTACGTTTACACCCAGTTTTAGGTTTTAGTTATAGTTTACATATCTCTTCTCTTGGATGTTTACTCTCCAGCATTAGTTATCACAATGCTCCATTTTTTCAGTTCATTATTTTCAGCCCTTTTGACAGTAAATTTCTCAGCAAATACTAACTTTTTAGTTTTCTACTTTTTGATAATAACAAAGATAACTAAGTAAAAGTTGTGAATTATACAATCTATAGAGACTATATAATACTCTCATATGTAGTGCTAGTGCTCCTTATTTTGTTTATATTTGTTTTATTTTCATCAACAGGCAACTGTGGCTATCATCAAATCTAAAATTCCAACCTATTGTTCTATCTCCTCTTGAACAAGAAAACTCCAGTGATTTGTACTGTAAGGTGAAGTTTGGAAAGAAACTGCCTGTGAACATCACTGACACTTCTTATGTGGGGTATGATATACTCTCTTAAAATAATCACAATTCTTCAGTATGATGGAGAGTGGGAGAAGTCCTATCAGTTTGTGAATATGTAATTATAGAAGACGATTTAAAATAATTGTCTCTGTATTGGCTGCTATTTCCATATGCATTGTGCTTACAATGACATTGACTAACTGGCTATTATTTCAAAAGCAGAATAAATATTGATTCTTATTTTGTTGTAAATTACAATTTTCTTTAATATATCTGCAGTGCCTAATGTGTTTTGTACATTTGTGTGATGCAAAATAATTTGGCTGTAATTACTTAAATAGTAACTAACTTGGTGTTAAATTACATATGTATACCCGCTTTTGAAACACATAACTTATTTTGTGCCACAGGCACAGATGGGTGCAGTTTGGGTTCATCAGGTCTTAGTGGGTTAGACACAGAACTATGAGAACTCATCTAGCCTTCTTGACAGTCAGCTTTTAAAGGTATGAAGCTGAACGCACTAAACAGGTGGCATGTGGTGCAAACTGAACTTGCTCAGTCCATTCTCAGCACATTGTTTTGAGAAGCTGGAGAGGCTCTGGAGAATACAGTGCAGAGGCATCAGGTTGCTCCACAGAGCCACAGCCAAGGGTTTGCTCAACTAATTAGTTCCTGTTAGCTTTGGTCCTACTGAATGTGAGCTAGGTGGAAGAGGCAACTTTGGAGTATTTACACCATGCTCCCTTTGCATTGAGTTCTGTAATGCCACAGATATGCTTGGGACTAGCTTCTGAATTCAGCTCCAGGCAAGTTAATAAACATCTGAACATGGAAGCTATGAAAAAAATATGAGTTAATGACAATAAAAAGATTCCAGAAGCCAGCTTGTAGGGTACAGCATTTCTCCATGAACTTACTTGAACGTCATTGCAAAATAATCCCTAACAGGTCTTGTAATAAATACTGTTCAGGGTTCATGTTGTTATGGGTATTTGAGTTACTCTGAGGGAGAGCTGACTGAAGTAACAAAATTTGCCATAGAACATTTTCCCCAGAGGAAAATTCAATTCCGGAATTTAAAGTTGTTGGAAGGGATGGGGTTTTTTGTCATCAGAAGATGCTGTTGCATAGGGTATTAAAAAAGTCTGTCATGTGAAAGCAATTTTAGAATTGTTTGAAAATTACCACTGCTTAGCTAAATTAAATTTACTTCAGGACTGTGCTAAGATCTCTGCTGAGATCAGAACTGTGCTAAGTCAAGATCTATGTATTTAAGCTTTTTAAAAAACCACAATTTTGTTGGCAAAAATGTTTAACTTGAAGAAATACAAGTATTTGTTTAACAAAAAAAATCGATAATGCTCCTTGTTTTTCTTCATGTTTACTTTATTTTTTATTTTTTTTTTTTACAAAATGTGCACATTTAGTTTACACAAACACGCTACAGCAGATTTCAGGTGTACATGTATTGTACTACTCTTATCCTACACTGGTGATAGCAGAGCAGCCTTCAACATGCTTCTAACATCCCATCTCTACACCAGAATAGATACCTGATTTATTTTTGCAAAAGAATGCTTGCAACATACTTTCTACTTCATTAATCCCCTTTCTCGATTTCTGCAGCAATGTCACAATGAAGATTGGCCTATCTCTGAGAGCATTTCACCTAGTTTGAAGTATTGGCATAAACTCCGTGGACAATATACCTTAAAAATTACATGGGGGGGGGGGGGGGGCGGCAGTATTTTATTGTAGGTACATACTTTTTTAGAAAAATCTTTCTAGGTTCAGAATTACTGTAGCTCCAATCTTAATGAAGAAATGATCCTAAAAAAAAAAGTAATGCATATCTCATATATAGATGATATTATATAGCTGAAGTTTCTAATTTTTTCCTGATTCTGTCTCATAATTAAAGATATTACAAAAAGCTGAAAGATGTTAACCTGTCTAGCAGTCACTATTAGTATATGTTACTACATAGTGATATTAATTGTGATCACTGAAGTGGGATGGAAGTTTCAAAACAAGTTCATGCCTTTTTCTTTATTAAAGGCAGAAAGACACTCATGAAAACAGTGTTAGGATCCAGTTAAGGTATCTTCATGAAAAACTGAAAGTCAGAAGATCCTTAATTTTAAGTACAGAACTTTGCAGACACATCCAAGAAGAATTAGAAATACAGTATGTAGGACTCCTGATATTCATGTCATGATACATTAAATGCAGATTTACTAGATAAGTGTGATGGATAGAAGCTTACTCATATTGGTTAGGGAGTAAATCTACCTATAAGCAATTCTTTTTTTGTTCTACAACAGTTCTTCCTCTCAAGTTATCTATTTTGTTAGGTTTGGGGATTTTTTTGAAGAGAAAAGCAAGTCAAAGGTGGAAGGCAATTGCAGCAAGATGTGCTTTGCACATTGATTACAGCACTTTAACTCAAAGTGTTACTCAAAAAATGAGGACTACACTGTACAAATGTGAAAAGAAAATACATGGTAATGCCTCTGTATAAATTAGAAGCTAAGATTTAAGAAATACACTTGAACACCTGGAGCTTAATCCAGTACAAATGAGTAGCAAAACTAAGAGTATTTAATCTCCTTGTGATAGTATCTATTTTATCTAGGGGTTGGAATGATAATAAAGCTGCATAATGTCAGGTCTTACTTTGGGTTTGGAGTAAAAACCTGACTTCTCAGAACAATCCTGTTAACTAAGTAGCCACTTTTGAAGTGCTAAATTATGTAATTTAGAAACTTTTTTCTGTTGGGAAAAGTTTATAATAAAAAATTATTTGCATAATACATGTCTCAGTGTAAAGCTGAGTAATTTTATTTATGATAAAGTGGGAAATCCGTCTTTTAGATAAAGTTGCAGAATAGCTTGTATTTGTCCATTAGTTGTAGACCTAATGTCTTCATTAAATCACATTTTCAAAGAGCTGCATGGATCGCATTATATTCTCATCCTGTAAAAAACACAACAAAAAAACCAAAAATCATACACCATTACAAATGTAGCTGGCCAATATCTGTAGTGAAACTGGGTAGAACTAACTATTTTAGTTAATGACAACATCGTTTTTCAGCTTGTTAGGAGAAATTGTTAGCAGAAAAAGGCTGTTAATGGATCTATGCTGAAAGAGGGTTTTGTATATATTAATTAAATCAAAACTATTCTGTCAAGAATACAGTAGCATGTTAAGAAAATTAAATCTGCAATATTTTGGAGGTTATAAGTTTATATCCAGTATAACAAAATACATATAGACAATAAATACTCAAGGAATAGTAGTTGTATCTGAAGTGTGAATCCGTACGTGAAATTGCTAGTCCTGTGTATCATACACAGCAGCTTTTTTGCAATTCTAGGGCATCCTTTGGCATAACTAGGGGTGACTCAAAACAGATTTAAGTGTGCACCTTTGCATGAACCAAAGAGTCTGTCAGTTCTGCAAATATCACTGCAACACTGACTCCTCCGCTCAGATTTTCTGTGTGTTCACACTGAAAAATATTGACTGCTTCCCAGTGCTACTTCTGCTTTCTGATTGCTTTGCATTAGGTAGGTAACAAAGCCTTCAACTTCCAAGTTCGGCGTAATGTTTACTGATGCATCACTCTGTATTCCAGTTTTTATCAGTAAATAACTCTCAAGCACAGCAGTCAGGAAGAAATAATTTTTTAAATTTACCTTTCAGTGTATTGAAGAAATAGTTTACTTGTAGTAGCCTATATTTGGTGGCGCTTCTGGATCAAAAGTTGCTTGCACAATACAATATATATACAATACAAGAGTATATTACATGCTCATTGAGCATTTGCTGGTCTCCACTGTAATGATCCTCTTTTTTAATCTGAATGCACATCCTTTAGTACTTTCTTGAGAGATAATCTAGCCATCTTTAATTCTAGTGAATAAAATGTCTGAATTTGATAGAATATTTTAGGAAGCTTCATGAAAGAGGTGCATAAAAACACCACTTCTTAGAAAGGTTATCTCATAGTATTCTCCATTACCGATAGGTATGTAGGCCTTCTGTACATTAATGTTCCAATAACACATGTTCAGTATCAATTTCCAGTTAAATTATTCACTATTCAGACTACTGGGTGATTTGCTTTGTAGAAAATGACAAGTCTGAGTAACTTTCTTAATTTATGTTACGAAACACACACAGTGGGGTTTTTTGTCTCTGATTCCATATGTCATCTCAAGTGATGTTGCTGTAAAAAGTGATCTGCGCGCTATTTTATGCTGATAAACTAACTTAGGAAAGCAGTGATATTTAATTTAAAAAAAAAAAAGTAGATTAATGTTTAAAAGTTTGTTTAGGAAATTTACTATATTAAATTACTGGAAATTAAAATAAACTAGCTTTTTATCACTGCATTGTTTTGAAACATCAATATACTATTGAAGATCACAGATTAATGTAAGTTAACAGATTAAAATTTGGTTTAACTGGAATCTTTTGTCATTTAATTATTTACAAATGTTTTTGTATATACATTGGCAACTCAGCTCAGCAAATGTGCAAAGCAAACAACATGCTCTTAATTTAGAAAGTGTTTTGATACTTCCTATGAGTTTTATAATAAATATATCATCACTAATGAAACTAGTAGTTTTCTAAAATCAGCTCCATATTTCTGAAGTTTGCTGAAGACTTCCAATGCCCCTCCTTTAGTCAGTCAAATGGGAAGAGTCTTCACAGAAAATATAGGCTTGTCATAATATTTGGAACATGGTGACTTTTAGTAGCTTTCTTTTTTTCTTCCATCTTCAAAAAAGAAAGAAAAAAGCAGCTGCTTGCCTTAGAATTCTTTGGCAAGTGTGTCTTTCTCATTTGCCTCTTTTTTTCAGTACATTTTCTAAACAATTTTTCGAGATAGATTTGGTTAATGATTCCTTACTCAAGACAGTAGGAGGTGTTAGTGCATATGAAGCACAGTCTACACGAAGCAAAAAACATGGATGAACAACCTTTGCCAGATCTGACCTAACTTCAAGCCCACTTTGACCTTTTTCTTACTGAAGTTTGAGATGGCTCCTTTGTTGTTTTCAGGCTAGCCCAGACCATCAGCACTGTGTTCTGGGTCTGGGTTACTCCTCCAGAAAATATCTATCCATCCCAGAAGCCTTTTTATCATTATCAGAAGGACCTTTAGGGCCTTCACCCTGACATTCACCTGTGCACCATGCATGCCTTAGTGCTTTGCCTCTGTTGGTGGTAGCACCTCTTCATGGTGCTGCTGTAGATAGGAAGCAGTGCCCAAGTCAGACCATTTTCCACCAGCACCAAGCAGTGCAAGGAGGTGGTGAGGAACTGGTTAGCACCTAGCCCTTGAGTTAGCCACACTACTGTTTCCCAAGACCTATCTCTGCTATTTGGTAACTTCTACAAAGCAGGACAGACAGCAGCTGCTTTCTGGGACTCAGTCCGGCATACCTAGGGCAGGATAGTCCTGTGGGAGCAGGAGAATCCTGGAGTCTGGATGACAGACTGGCATTCGAGCACATGGGTATATGGGGTAGGGAGGGCAGGGAAATCAGGTCATACACATTCCCTCTCCCAGACAGAGGGAGGATGAGGGGAAACACCTTTGCTGTTCTCACTTACACATGGGCAAAGATAGGTCCTTATACCCAGTGACCAGAGAAGATCACACTCAAAGCCTGGATGCTCTGTAGTTCCCTGCATAACTGCTTAACACTTTGTGAATGGACAGGCCATTCTTTGCATTGGGACCATGAATTAAGAGTCTTGAACTTGCTGTATACCTCAGGCTGTACAGTGCTACTGCACTGATAGGTGTGCCAAACCAGTAATCATCACAGAGAGGCGATTTTAAAAAGGCCCACATGTATATAATGAGTGTTTAAAAACACAGCAGAGGTTCTTGATGCTACAAAAAAAATCTCAGGAACCCATCCCAGGTACCTGAAGTGGAGTCTCTGTATTCAAGTGTGCTCTGCTGTGTTCCTTGTTACTCTTAAAGTAAGTATGCCATGCTTTCCTTACTTACAAAACACCAGTGAAAGGTGTTTCTGTGACCCACTAATACGGCTTCCAACTCAAAACAGAGGAATGACAGTTCTCAGAGGCTGGCAAATCTTGCCCGAGATCCTATTCAAATAAAAGGCTCCTGCAGCCTTTCCCTGGCAGAACAGGCTTCCAGTCCATTTTAAGATTCAGACTGGATGGGATCTGAGCTTTAGAGTTCAGTTGAGGGTTTCTTGTAGTGCTTGTCTCCTGGCACTGTTCTGATTCTAGTCCCACTGCTTGAGCTAGAACTGGCAAGCACATCCTCTGTATGCCTTTAGCATATTTTCACATGCACAAGATGCAGCTCTGGCTGCCATATTCATCAATGGGCATTCCCATTCCAAAGTCTGAGGTACAGTCATGTGTTAGGTAAACGGGCCGGGAAGGTTTTGTGCAGATGTGCTCTAACATCAGCCTTCGTGCCAAAGGAGGAAGCCACCATAGCTGTCAAAGCCTAGGGAGCAGCAGGTGTGCCGTGCCCCTGTCCTGAACATCCTGGTTTTGGTAAGCAAAAGGTAATAGTAGAACTAGCACTGGTCTAGAGAGAGGGCCAAGTGTGATTAAAGGTCTGGACTGGTTTCCCTAGGAGGAAAAATTGAATAAACGAGTACTTTACAGCTTGGAAAAGAGATACTGAATGAAAGGCAATGACGATAACCACCGTTTTTCCATAACACCAGAACATATGGGAAACAAAAATATTGCATGGCAGGTCTAAAACACAGGCGGAGGGATCACAAGATCATTTAATTTTGCTTTTGGCATTGTTAAATGCTCACGAAAGATGAGACACCTCGCTCCTGGAGTGATGTGACTTGCTGCATGCTGAGGAAAGAGGAACCTGAATGTTACCTTTTTAGATCAGTCTTGTACCTATTATGATATTAAAAAAAAAGATTTTCCTAGAGCTTCCTAAAGGAAGCAGCCACTACTGTCCTTTGTGAAAAATGTAATCCTGAACAGGCTGAAGCCATGTTAACCCCTGAATCAAGTTTCTTGAAGGACCTGGACTGAATCCTTAACCCAAATCTCATTTGGGAAACCAACTCTTGATATAAACATGCATTACACACTTTGCAGCTCAGAGGAATAGAACAGGTCTTAGTGGGTAGAGAGACAAAATTTTAGGCAGCAAGATACCTTCTGTATCAAAAAAACATTGCCACCTTTGAAGTTAAAAGCAAGTGAAGGTAAGTGGCATGATGAGAACAGTGTCTCTGTCATATAGCAGTTTAGAAAGCATCTCTCTCACATGTATTCTGAATATTCAGAAGAGGTAAATAAGGAATCTTCTAACAACAGATGTGAGAAACTGTGAAGCACATTGGAAAAGGAGAGCAGGCAATTCCTTACTGAAGGCAGTAATTTTCTTCATAAATGAATCACTCATCCCATCAGTATAATTGCTGTCATATCCAGATTAATCTGTCATTTAACTTCCAGAACTCTGCAGACCTCAGCTGGGAAATTAATCTCATGTCTGTTTCTGATGATCACTCAGCTTTAGCAGAGCAAATGCCTTTAATTTGCACTGAACAAGACTGATAAGCTAGAACCATGGTCAAAGCCATAGAGCGCTGTCGACAGACAAGACACTACCCACTACCCATTGCTAAGGATATAAGAACAGGCAGGTAGAAGAGCTGTTCTCTGTCTTTCATCCCCCAAAATCAGCAGATTAAAATCAAAGAGAGAATCACTTACCACGTAACTGTACTCATGAAGGCAACCCCAAGGAAAAACTACAGATGCATATAAAAATAGACCAATTCTAAAGCATCTTTGCTATTTCCTGTTCAGTCTTCCCTGTTCCAAACGGTTAAAAATCTGTCACTCACTAGCTGCATTTATCTTGCTAGTCTTGTTCTCTCCTATCTCTTGTCTACTGCTCTCTTCTTGGTATAGGAGATAAACAATACACACAGGCTATACTGCAGATCTGTGTCAGCTTCATCTGACTCAGAGCTGGCCTGGACAAGGTATCAGTAGAACACCACTATGACTCCTTATGTTTCTCACTGTAACAAATAGCATTGGGTTTATTTGCCACATCAGTATGCATAATGTAATCAGGCCTATCTTAGCACTAGGTCTAATGTGACACTTTACAGTACATAACAACCTCTTACCACACCAAAGTCTTGTCATCATTATTTTGTACTCTATCATGTTTCTTTTTCTTGCATCTCTCAAGTGACAAATTAACAGTAGTTCCTTAAATTTCTGAAAATGCAACTTATCTTTCCTCATATTGTCTCCTGGTCCAAAAGCAAGCCAGTTTCTGAAGGGCAGAGGAGTGAAAATGGGCTGTAATTCCTGCTGCAGAAGTTTATTCTCATTCCTGGCTCTAGAGACAACAAGCTGCTTTCAGCAGTTGAAGGAAATTAACAGCCACCTGGGTAGTGTAAACACTTGCAACTGATTATCACCATCAGTTCTCACTCCCTTGCCTTGAGAAAACTTGCCTGCTGTTAACTCCTGCCATCCAACACTTTGCAAGCTCCTTGCACTCTCCCTTTTTAAGGCCTCCAGCAGGTCATGATTCGTTGTTCGGGAAACACTCTGATAGGTGATAAATTTTCAAGCAATATTATTATTGCTGTGACTATATGCCAATCGTAACGGGAATGCGTTCCCTAGCATGGGCAGAAAAACAGAAATAAGTATGTAGCTGAATGTGAGGAAACTTTTTGCTATCAAGTACAAACAAAACACTGTTGAAGAGAGAAGGGATGTGGTCACAGTTGTCTAATAAGCGATGACAGCTTGTGTATAACATCTCTTCTACAGATTCAGGTCACAAAATTATTTACATTGTTTAGTGTTTTTGTGTAATGGTGTACATGCATACTCTACCTTGGGAAAATACTGTCTCTGGTATTCAGATTACCATCACTGTCACTCCAGAAGCCTGTGTAGCACTATGATAGCATTAGCCAACAGATACAGGTTCCGTACTTATCACTGGGTACTTACTTTCTGGCAGCTCTCGATGAATTCATCTATGGTAACTACTCCATCTTTGTTTTTGTCCATTTTCTGTTCAGAAAGAATAAGAATGTATGTTTATCCTCCTGAAATCCTGTGTAAAACAAGTCCTTTTTATTATTCACTTCAATTATCTGTCAGCCTAGGAACAACCAGGCCAAAATGCTGTAAAGATGTAGGAAGTGATATAGTAGAATACGCTCAAGGAGCTTATTGTTGAAAAAGCACGGTGTAATGAGTAGATCTGAGAAACTTGGGATGGAACCACAGAGAAGAAAAAGGATTACAAAATTGGTAGGATATGCAAAACTGTTACAGCAATGAAAATCTTTCCATACCTGCTAACAGAGCAGTCTTTTTGGCTCCTATGTTACCAGACCCACCTGGAAAAATGTTTCCACATGTTGTCTAGGAGCATCCTCCTTGAGAACAGGATAGGTGCATTTTCCCATCATATCATATATTGCTTTCATGATATCAAGCATTTCCTGAGGAGGAAAAAATATGTCTGTGTAATGTAAGGTGTGTTGTAGACACTGCTTGAACTCAGAACACAGAAATTATTTTTAGGATTTACATTTTAGAATAAAATTCTGAGATCGTGCTGTGATTTTATGACTGAACAGCTTCAAGAAAGAACTACTATGGTCCTAGAAATTCTAGCATGTTAGTTCAGCTTTCACAGATAATTTTTTTAATAGATGCAGATGTATGGTTTTATTTTAAATGATTTGGAATATTTGCAAGTTCATGGATTGTGGGAAGAATCTCCTGAGGTCTTGTGAATAAAACTAAACAGGAAAAGAAGTTGTGTAACAGCAAGTGAATAGTCAAAGCACATCAGCTTCTTACAACTAAGTTTTCCTTAGAGAAAACAGAAACACCCATGCACACAACTGCACATAGGCAGAGTCCTTTTACATCAAAAGCTTTTACTTTTGTTAATAGAGTGGCTTGTGAAAACTATAAGAATAATTATAAAAACAAGTCATCTGCCAGTATGCTGAGAAATTATTCTGTAGATCACTCTTTTATAATAATCATGAAATGTTTTTTCTAAAGGCATAAAATTATAAGTGTAATATATATATATATTTACATAAAGACCCAGTTTTGAAAAAACATATTTTTATGAAAGCACTCATTTGGTCTTACTGTAATTTAAGTATGTGTTTGAATCCTTGCAGAATAAAAGATGTAGGAATCTTTTTATATAAATTCTCTTTCAAGTAAAAATTTTTAGAAGTAGATTCATAAAATAAGTAACAATTTTGGCCCACGTACTTAACGCTTTTTTGTCCAAATATCCTACCAAACTACTTTTTATTTTAGTGGCTGTATGTGCAAATACATAGGCATAAGTTGAAGCCAAGCATTTCTGTACCTGAAGAATTCTGACCTTTTACAATTTCTGTGAAGATTTTATCTTTCTAACTTTTATATATGCCTTTAAAATGAGAAAATTATTTTTAGCATATCTAGTTTCATAATATATGTTTATTTGTTAACATGTCTAATTTGACAATGAAGCCATTCTTCTTTGAAAGCGGGACTCACTTATACAACTCTTAGTTTCAGTGATTAGTGTAAAAAGTAAACCTTACCTCTTTAGTTATATATCCATCCTTATTTATATCATACAAATTGAAAGCCCAGTTCAGTTTCTCCTGTACTGTCCCTCGGAGTAAAATTGAGAGACCCATAACAAAATCCTGAATAGACAAAAGGTCTTGGTCAGTTTGGAATTGAGCAGTTTTTCACAAACACTCAGAAATCCAGAATAATGCGTTCGTCAGAAGCACAGAAGTCTGGAAAGATGCGTTGTTTCTATTTTTTTTGCTTCACAGTAAGTGTTAAGGATTGCTTTTTTAAAAAAAATAGGTAACAATCTAGGCACTGTTGCCAGACTTATAATTAATAAGTAAATTAAGTAATTTTCTATAAAATAAGCCATAATTTTCTGTTAGTGGATTTATCCTCTGAAATGCCTCACATAAGCAGTTCCTGTTGAGCTTAATACCACAGAAAAACAATCCCCATGGTTTAATGGTCCAAAAAAAAAGCTTAAGTGGGAGTTAGATTAATCTAAGCACAGGAGACCAATTTTGGAAGAACTATCTACTAAGGAACATTAAATTCTTGTTAAATCTGTACCTTGTTGGAAGTGGAATGTATGGTTCCCAGACCTCTTTGAACAATCTGCTGCAGTCAACATTTGAAACTTTGTGTATGCTCCAGTACACCTCAATACTTAAACCCCTTATTGGAAATATGATAGGGAATAATATTGTATGTCCATGTACCACCTTAATGCTTTTGTGACCCACCAATGTTCTATTGCTGTAGAGCTATTCCACAGAAATAAATCAGAAGACTTTTGAGATTATTTATATGTAGTATTTGGTTATAGAATTTTGTTTCATAATTAATACTCTTTTGACAGCAGAATCCCCATTTACATTTAGTGATCATCTTCCAGATTGAAGAAGATAGCAACTGGGATGTGTCGTCCCCTGTCTTCTGTATTTCTTAGCATGATAACTTTGTTTAAACAATGGCTTTTTTTCCTAACCGTCTCCTCTACTTTTTTTCTATTTGATATGCTTGTAAACCCATAAATCTGTGAAATTGTCTCCATAATAGGCTGAGCAGAATATGTCAAGAGCTTATATTTAAATGTGCATTTCTACGTCATTGGCAAAGACATACAGGAAGTCTTAGAGTACCATTAAAGCAGAGACAATAAAAGCTGAAAAATTTCTTATCAGCACCAGCAAAGTTTATGCATTTCCTTAGAACAGGAACAGTGGAAAAGACTGCACTGCAGTTAGACATAAATCACAAAGGTCTGATGTACCACACAGTCAAATAAGGATGCCCGATACAGTGAAGCATACACAGATATCATGGCCTCAGATGGTCTAGTAGGCACAGACAGCTCTTTTGACAGCTTCAGTCTTTTTAACTATTCAAGTGGTATGCTCTGCGTTTTCTTAGTCTGTCATAAGTTTATGTCTTATTGGTATATGTGCCCTTTGGTGTAATCGGATACATGAATCTTGAAAGAGTTTTGCTCAAATTGTCTTGTCTTCATCTCAGTGACTAATTGAGAGGTCACAGGGTTAAATCTCCAAACAGCTCTTTAACAATGTACTATTAAGTATTAAAATGTTCAAGAAATTCAGAACAGATTTGATCACATTACAGCATTAGTAATTAACCTTTTTAATTCACTACCACGTCTTCAAATCTTTTCTACACTGTTTTACATTCTTGATATAGCTTTACCCTGAAGTCCCTTGCAAAGGTCTCCAATAACCTTATTTTCTTGGAGTATTATATTTCAGAACTCTGAATTTATTTTTAATTTGGCACCAGCAACAGTTTTGCATTTATTCTATCTAAACCATATATATTTTTCTTTTCCTGATTATTTCTCTTTCTTCCTTTCTGTGATGCACCACCCATATCTTAGCTGGCTTCCTGGCATCATTTATATCCCCATTTGCAAAGCTGCCCTTCTACCATGGGTTTTAAAAGCCATGCATAAGAAAAATTGACTTTATGCTGTTTTGCATGGGACTGAATGTCCTTATAAAAGCTGAGACAACTGAAAAACCTTCCAGGTGTGTGCTCTAAACTTTGCAAGAGTGCATTATGTCCTTCCATATTGCATCCACATGTTTGGGAATCATACATAGTTCAGTTCAGGTGCATTGCCTTTGTCTGAGTGTTGTGCAGGAGTCCATCTCAGGAACAATAGAAAGGACTTATAAGAGGAAGTTGTGATGAGCTGAAGAAGGACCAGTTAGGATGGGGTATCTTTTCTACATACTTACTTTCATGCAACTGAAGAATACAGCAATAAAATCCTACAGAAATAGAAAATCTGATTCAATGGACACAGGCTAAAACCACAGGGTATTTTGGGCTAGATCCTCAAAGAGAAAAATGCTCTGTATGGTGGAAGGCAATGTGTGTGTCAGAAGCAGGATAGCTATGCTAGCTGTTATGCAAATAATCCAGTGCAGAATGCCATAGTAAAGCAACAGCGCTGAGGGTAGCAGCTAAGCTCAGGGAGCATCTGTCTGTATGCTTGTTACCAACAACTCAGTGACAACACATGAATCAGGCACACCATTTAGCAAGGAGCATGAGCCCAAGTCCCCATGACAGTATTAGAGTACCCAGATGTGTTTTTATTCCTGGTTTAGACATCTGATTTCCGGGGAGAGAGGAATTCTACTTTTAGAGCCTATTTGTTTTTGAAGATTCACAGTACTGCTTGGACACTTACATCCCCACTGGCCACTGAGAGGGACGGTCCTGCTCAGCTGAGCACCTAATGAGGAGAGGTGCATCTAACTTAGGGTCACAAAGGAGCCTAACACTCCAGAGGAGATCTGGGCTGAGACACAACTCTAGGTCAGGTTTCTCTTCAGTCTGTGCCAGCGAAGTTAGACACACAGAAGTCCGTGCTTTGGTACTTGCCTTTACTCCTTTCCACAGTCTCCTATTTCTAACTTGCTGGCTTCCTGCTAAGCCTGCTAATACCTGTGAAGACGTCCATTAAATGCCAAACTCTCCCATGCCTAACTTTGATTCTGCAAGAAAGGGGGATGTCTCACTGAAGGGTTGCAAAATGGAGCATCATTGCACCTGTACTGGAGCCTCTGTGCACTCAGTATCACAGCCTGCTCACATTTCAGTCCTGCACCACAGCTGTATAAACCTCTGGCTGTGATCTGGGATTAACTTGCATTTGGGTTTTTTTCCAGCAGTGATTAATTGTCTCTTAGCAAGGTTGTTGATGACTTTCTGATTGCTTTATCCCTCACTAAATCTTTGGGGAGAACTAGTTCATTAATAAATTAATTAACAAGCTTAATAGTGTGCTGTCTCAAATCCATAGGAAAACTTAAAATTATTCCACCTGATCATGTGTTCCTATATGTCTTGTTCAAGACCAGAAGTAGGTAGACAGGCACCTAAATCCATTTTTGGATTCAGACCTTAGGATTTTGGAAAGGAATCACGTGATGAATGTGAGTCACAGAAGTGCTGGAGCCCTGGCGCATATAAAACAAAGATCACTGAGGAGGAGCTGCTCTTAAGAGGAAATATATTTCTTTGTAGCTACTTTACACCAGCTGGTACTAAAATGCTTGAGAGATCACCACTGTCCTGAGAAAAATTAGCTCATTTCCTACATGATATGAACAAGGCTTTTTGTGTTGAACACAGACATTCAGAACCCAAACCATTCTATGATTCTATGATTCATTAAACAGCTACCCTTATATTACTGCCTTGGAGACAATGACTGTTTGTCACTGTTATTATTAGAGAAATACCAAAGTTGTGTTTGATCTTAAGATCTAGACTCTCCTATGTAACTGAGTTAACATGCTTGTTAATTTATTAATTAATGAAAAATTCTCAGGTAACAATTGAGGAATAAAGCAATCAGGAAATCACCAATGGCTTTGCTAAGAATTATTAATAATTTTTTTTGAGAAACAAATACAAGTTTGGTTTTGATTAAAAAAAATCTTTAAACATCCCCACTGCATTTGGGCACAGCTTTGTACTTTAAGGCACTAAGAATTAGTGGGATTACTGAGTGACTTTCCTCTCATCAAGATCACATTTAGAATAACCTTAATCCGCATGTATAACAAACTCAGGATACTGATTTGGATATTTGCATGTGGGTGCAAGGTGCTTTACCTTTGACTATAGGTCTGAAGTTAATTAGCCTCAATTTTCCTGGCTGTGTAAATAGCCTTGAGGCCTAGATCTTCATTTTGGTTCATTTACAATATTCATGAAGCAAGTGGAAACCTTGCTTTCACATCTGTTTCTGTCTGATGGAAAAAAGAACTTCAGTTCACTAATATGCCAAAAGAACCCTTCAATAGCTGGGTCACTAGGGTTTCTGAAACTCTGTTTCTTCCTCATGTTAAAGCAAAACTAGTTGGTGTAACTTATGAAATAAGTTAGTCTCAAAATTGATACAATCATGGGATAAGAAGAGGTCGGTTCAAGAAGCTAGTTTCATGAGTTTGTTTTTTTTATGCTACATAAAATGCTTCAGTTGGAGAGCCTGACTCCTATCAGAGAGTATACAGATTTAGGGCTGACCAAACTCTAAGGACATAGCAATCTCATCCAATGAAGGTGTGCATTTAAGTTGTGCTAAAGTCTAACACTTAATTTTTGATGGTTGAAAATTTGAGGAAAAAAGAGCAAAAAGCTAGGACAAATTCTCTTTCTTCTTCCCCACAACTCCAGCTACCACTGCTTCATTAGAAAAAGGAGAGTGCAACACAAAAAATGCCATTCTTACCTACATTCTTTCAGTACCATTTCAGATTTTCATATCCTTTTTACATAGAAGAGAGCCAAAGAGTGTTTTTCATCATAGGTCATTATATTAAATTGTATTTACTCCTACACTTTGATTTAGAAAGTAAACTGGGATGAATGATTATTTATTCTCCAAATTTTTAAATCACTCTCTTTTTCTCTATCTTTTGTGCTGTTTGTTTGGTTTTTTTTTCTAATGGAAATTAGAAAACTAGAGTACATATTGGTACCTAGGATAAGAAGGAGCAGGAAAAAAAATTACATGATTGTATTTTTCACATTTCGCAATATCTACTTTCACATTTTGCAGCTACTTTCACATGATTAGAAAAAAAACCTAAACAACTTTAACATAAGGAGGATGCTTTTAAAATGGCTATCATACAATTTGTAAGTAAGTATAATGCTGCTACGTGGTACAAGGACACAGAAACAAGAGTCCTTTGACAGCAGTAGAGTTATGCTGAATTCAAAATTATTGCAAATAATATCAAAGTCTGGATCGCTCTGAGTTAATATTGAACAAAAGTAAGCTGGAAATGTCTGTTTTGGCAATGAAAAAAAACCACTGCTGCTTTATTTTCGTGATTTATTTTATTCCAAAGCCTTTTTTATACACAGACCTGCACTTTGAGATATTAAAATCCCTTAAAAAGGGCTTCATATCTACTGCATTTCTTAAAGCTTTCTGTCTGAGATACAAATGTCAACAAATTGTCCAGGAAAGATACAAAAGCTTCTTTTGTTCTCAGTATTCTTAATGCTAACAGCAGAAATACTTCTCAAATACTAATGCTAAAAATGTTTTCTCTCATTGCCTCTGCTGTTGCTGATTTGACCAGAAGGATTCCTTGTAGAAATAGCCTATGTACAGAAGATGTGAATAAAACCTCCAATCCTACTTCTAGTTTCACATGGAGCCCATTGATTTCAGCTGCCTGGAAAAAGGTAGATGGGGTTAATGTTTTTTTAAATAAATGCAAATAATCACAGAATTATAGAATAATTTGTGTTGGAAGGGACCTTAAAGATCATCTAGTTCCAATTCCCCTGCCATGGGCAGGGACATCTTCCACCAGACCAGGTTGCTCAAAGCCCCATCCAACCTGGCCTTGAACACTTCCAGGGATGGGGCATCCACAGCCTCTCTGGGCAACCTGTTCCAGTGCCTCACCACCCTCACAGTGAAGAACTTCTTCCTTACATCTAATCTACATCTACCCTCTTTCAGTTTAAAGCCATTACCCCTTGTCCTATCACTACATGCCCTTGTAAAAAGTCCCTCTCTTCCTTTTTGGTAGGCCTCCTTTAGGTAGTGGAAGGCTGCTGTAAGTCTTCCTGGAGCCTTCTCTTCTCCAGGCTGAACAACCCCAACTCTCTCAGCCTGTCTTCATAGGAGAGGTGCTCCAGCCCTCTGATCATCTTTGTGGCCCTCCTCTGGACTCCAACAGGTTCATGTCATTCTTATGTTGGGGGCCCCAGAGCTGAACGCAGTACTGCAGGTGGGGTCTCACCAGAGTGGAGTAGAGGGGGACAATCACCTCCCTTGACCTGCTGGTCATGCTTCTTTTGATGCAGACCAGGATATGGTTGGCTTTCTGGGGTGCAAACGCACATTGCCATGTCATGTTGAGATTCTCATCAACCAACGCCCCCAAGTCCTTCCCCTCAGGGCTGCTCTCAATCCACTCATCACACAGCCTGTATTTGTGCTTGGGATTGCCCAGACCCATGTGCAGGACCTTGCACTTGGCCTTGTTGAACTTCATGAGGTTTGTACAGGCCCACCTCTCAAGACTGTGAAGGTCCCTCTGGATGGCATCCCTTCCCTCCAGCGAGTCGACCGCACCACACAGCTTGGTGCTGTCAGCAAACTTGCTGAGGGTGCACTCAATCCCACTGTCCATGTCACCGACAAAGATGTTAAACAGTGCCAGTCCCAATACCGACACCTGAGGAACACCACTCATCACTGGTCTCCACTCGGATATCGAGCCGTTGACCACAACTCTTTGAGTGCAACCAACCAGCCAATTCCTTATCTACTGAGTAGTCCATGCATCAAATCCATGCCTCTCCAATTCAGAGACAAGGATGTTGTGCGGGACAGCGTCAATTACTTTGCACAAGTCCAGGTAGATGACATCTGTTGCTCTTTCCTTATCCACCAATTGTGTAACCCTGTCCTAGAAAGCCACCAGATTTGTCAGGCACGATTTGCCCTTATTGAAGCCATGTTGGCTGTCACCAATCACCTCCTTATTTTCCATGTGCCTTAGCATAGTTTCCAGGAGCATCTGCTCCATGATCTTGTCGGGTGCAGAGGTGAGACTGACTGGCCTGTAGTGCCCCAGGTCTTCCTTTTTTCCCTTTCTAAAAATGGGGGTTAAGTTTCCCCTTTTCCAGTCAGTGGGAAGTTCCCCAGACTGCCACGGCTTCTCAAATATGATGGATAGTGGCTTAACCACTTCCTTCGCCACATCTCTCAGGACCCACGGATGCATCTCATCAGGTACCATGGACTTGTGCACCTTCAGGTTCCTTAGATGGTCTCGAACCTGATCTTCTCCTACAGTGGGCAGTTCTTCATTCTCCCAGTCCCTGCCTTTGCCTTCTGCAATTTGGGTGGTATGGCTGGGGCACTTACCAGTGAAGACTGAGGCAAAAAAGTCATTGACTACCTCAGCATTCTCCATGTCCCGGGTAACCAGGTCTCCCGTTTCCTTCTGGAGAAGGCCCACATTCTCTCTAGTCTTCCTTTTATCACCAATGTACCTACAGAAGCTTTTCTTGTTGCCCTTGATGTCCCTGGCCAGATTTAATTCTATCAATCAGGGCTTTAGCTTTCCTAACCTGATCCCTGGCGGCTCAGACAATTTTGCTGTATTCCTCCCAGGCTACTTGTCCTTGCTTCCACCCTCTCTGGGCTTCTTTTTTGTGTTTGAGTTTGTCCAGGAGCTCCTTGTTCATCCATGCAGGCCTCCTGGCGTTTTTGCCTGACTTCCTCTTTGTTGGGATGCATCACTCCTGAGCTTGGGGGAGGTGACCCTTGAATATTAACCAGCTTTCTTGGGCCCCTCTTCCCTCCAGGGCTTTATCTCATGGTACTCTTCCAAGCAGATCCCTGAAGCAGCCAAAGTCTGCTCTCCTGAAGTCCAGGGTAGTGAGCTTGCTGCGTGCGCTCCTCACTGCCCTAAGGATCCTGAACTCCACCATTTCATGGTCACAGCAGCCAAGGCTGCCCTTGAGCTTCACATTCCCCACAAGCCTCTCCTTGTTAGTGAGAACAAAGTCCAGCATAGCACCTTTCCTCATTGGCTCCTCTATTACTTGGAGAAGGAAGTTGTCATCAGTGCATTCCAGGAACCTCCCGGATTGCTTATGCCCTGCTGTGTTGTCCCCCCAGCAGATATCGAGGTGGTTGAAGTTCCCCATGAGGACCAGGGCTTGTGAACGTGAGGCTGCTCCTAGCTGTCTATAGAGGGCCTCATCCTCCTGGTCTTCCTGGTTGGGTGGCCTGTAGCAGACCTCCACTATAATGTCACCTGTCCCTGCCCTCCCTTGAATCCTGACCCATAAACTCTGGGTCAGCTCCTCATCCATCCCCAGGCGGAGCTCCATGCACTCCGGTTGGTCTTTGACATAGAGGGTGACACCCCCTTCTTGTCTCCGCTGCCTGTCCTTCCTAAAGAGCCTGTATCCTTCCATTCCAACACTCCAGTCATAGGAGCCATCCCACCATGTCTCCGTGATGCCAATATGATCATAGCCCTGCAGGTGTGCGCACAGCTCTAATTCCTCTTGTTTATTCCCCATGGTACATGCGTTTGCATAGAATCATTTAATCTGGGCCCCTGATGAAGCTGACTTACTGGCTGGAATTCCTCTGTGCTGCTCTTCAGGTGCTCTCCCGCTGACCTGTGATCCCTCTCCAGGCTCTGGGCATCTATTGCCGGCACTAGGATCCAGCTGGTAGTATTGGGATGAACTGAGGTTCCCCGCCCCCAGCAACTTTAGTTCAAGCCCCTCTTCACCAGCTTGGCAAGCCTATGACCAAAGATGCTCTTCCCCTTCTCTGACAGATGAACCTGGTCAGCCCCCAGTAGACCAGGTTTCTCAAAGCGAGTCCCACGGTCTAAGTAGTCAAACCCCTGGCTGGGCGCCAGTCCTGTAACCATTTGTTGATTCACCAGACTCGACTGGCCCTTTCAAACCCCTTCCATTTGACCGGGAGGATTGATGAAAAAACTACCTGTGCTCTAGAGTCCCTTACCTTGCGAATCACTGATATCTGAACGAATCTGGTGATCTGGTTATAGTCCCAGTTGAGGTATAGATTTCTGATCACAGTGCACCGGCTTGGTGAGGCTTCTCCTTCCATATTACATCAATAATAAGGCAATGAAAATGCTTTCAAAAAAATTTCCGTCAGACCTCACAGCATCTTTCACTCAAGTAAATCATAAAAAATTTAAAGTGGGTGTGTTTATCCCAATCCAATCTCAAGTTGTAAGGATATCATTCGTCCATTATGAACAAAAAAACCCAAAGCAAACATATCCTTTTTCAAATAAACTGAGAGATTATTTTTTTAATTTTATAGCTTAAAATAACAGCTCCTTTGCAGTATTTTGTACACCCTGTTTTCATCTAAACTGTTGAAGTGAATTGCCCTCTATACCATGTTATTGCATTGATGACATCAGCCTTTGCAAGTGATGACATCAGCCTTAGCAGGGAAAGGCAGAATTTTGAAAACAGATGGGGCAGTTAAATGGAGGAAGAATGAGTTTCAAACTCTTCTGCTTTGAAATACATTTGCTTTCAAGCCTTTTTTTGTGGAGCCTTCTCTTGGAAACTAATAGAGTGTGGGAGCAATCCTATTTTGGCTGAGTCATCCCCATAACATTAGTTGTAGTTCAGAGTCCTCCTCACCTTGCAGAGGCAGGGAGGAAGAGAAGGATTATTTTATGTAACTTGCATATAAACTGAGTTACCTTTTAAATGAACAGATTTATAAAAATACTACCTAGCAGCACAGTCTGAGTTACCGTTTTGGGATATGCAAGTGTAAATGTAAAATAATAATAATTACTTTTGTTAATGCATTGGAAGATATTGAAACTTGAGTCACATAAGCTAAATTTTTCATAATGTGAGCCATATAATAAAAGCCACCAAACTGGACTTAATTACAAGGAATAGCAAAATATTCAATTGCAGAGAATGAAGTAACAGCATCACTTACCTCAAAACTTACAGATCCATTGTGATCAGTGTCAAATGCATTAAACAGAAAATGTGCATAAGTTGTGGAATCTACAATTTAAAACAGTAAAAATAATTCATAGTAAGCACACCTTATTTCAGTTAATTTCATGAAAAAAATTGATACCAAGATAAATTTTGATACCAAAATTTGACAGCAAGACTAAATTTTCAATTCAGTTTAAACTTTTTTGGCATGGGAGGAGGAATAAGTGCAAGTATGTGGGTAGCTACACTGTTAGGAACAGAAAATCTAAAATTCTGGTCTAGAATATTAATTTTCATTTGCATTTCTGCTAATCACTGATATCTGAATGAATAGCAAAGAAGTCATGTTACTGTACTCTGAAACAAGCTGTGTTAATGGGAATGCTACTTTATCAGTTAAATGACCATGATAGGGGATCTATCTCATATGTTAAAGAAGAAAAATGCATTCATTTGTTCACTTTACATGGGGGAAGCAGATAGTACCATCTGTGCATCTGGTATATCATTTTTACTCTGAAGACAGGCCAGTTACCCAGGTTGAAGCTGAGCTTATCAGAAAGCTGCTGCTGTACTTGGGTCATGTGCTCATCCACAAGTGAGATAAAATCCTGTCTGGAGAAGCAGGTTCTTAAAGCTGGGTTGCTGCTTTATTCCTATGAACATCATATGAGGGCTATGTGCTTAAAAACCTTGGAAAAACTGGTTGTGACTAACTGAAGTGGTCAATAAGACTCTGAAAGATGACCTTAAATAAGTGATCCCTTTACTAATTGTTTGTGTGCATTTCAAACCTACTGACTAGTGCATATCTACTCATTTTAGAAACACAATAAATATAAATCTGTCAAGCCTCTCAGTTTTTGTAAAGATCCATCTTTCCATTTCCACTGAATGCCTTCTGAGAGGCACAACAGGCTCCAGGAGTAATATATTGCGAAGAGAGAACTTCTCCAGAGACTGCCCTGCTGATGTGAGGTACAAGCTGCTGGCGTTATAGAAAGTCAGCTTTCCTTAGTGTCTTTTCCCTCCCTCAAAATCATGCAAATTAATGTAGGCTCATGTTTACTTTTAATATTCATTGCTTTTTTTTTCATTTGTTTTTAGAAACTTCATGTATTTACATTAATTTTAGGTTAATTAACATTAACCTTACAAACTTCTAGTAAAGTGAGAAGTGTTATGAAAATCCTTCCTATCATGGAAAAACCTTATCAGTGCTGAGATGTCTTTTTCCGATTTCTTGGCACTAAATCATTTTACCTTTCATATTAATCCTGAAAACCATTTTTTGTCATAGCCCCAAACTTAATTTTGAATTAAACTGAGTGATAGTCTTGGGTCACTCGCCTGAAATGCCACCTTGACCCCAAGGAAACAAATATACCAAAACTCAAAATCTGTAGTTCACAGATTCAGACCTGATATTAGTAAGTGAAGTCTCTGGTCTTACTTCAATAAGTTAATTTCATGTGATGTGAAATAATTGTAACAAGAAAAAACTCTGCAACCTTTAAACCCTGTGTCTGTTAATGCATTTTCAGAGAATTAAAAAAACAAACAAACAACCACTATTGAGACATTCATTCATTCATCCATGTATCCAGTCATCAGCATAATTGCTTAAGCACAGCAGAGAAATTCCTACTTTAACTGAAAAATGTACATTTGTTGACTTCAGTTTATATTTAGGATTTTAATAGTAATATTTTCTATAATCTATTGAGACTTCTGTTGTGCAACAGAATATACTATGCAAACCATCTTCAGCGAAAAAATATGTTATAGAGGTATAATTACTGTAAACTGAATTTTAAACAGCTTCCCATTTTCTTGGCATTCATTTCTTAAAAACATGTGAAATATTCCCAATTATTTTCTGTAGATTTAAACACAAAGGTTAACACAAAGGTTTTTTATTGTTTGTTGCCCATACATGATACAATATACTACTCTTTGTATGACGGGGTATGAAAAAAAAATCTCTAGTTGAAGAATCTTTTCTTTCTAGTAACCGCTTCTGAAAAAAAAAAAAATTCAGAGGTCTTTTCCAGGGTTGCTTGTTCAGGCAATTCTGGCCTGAAATGTTGCCTTCGTAAACACGGAAGGATGAGGTACACTATTCTTTTAATTAGAGCTACTTAATGTGATTCCTCCCTGCCCCTGCCCCACCTAAATCTTGAATATTTATCCTGTTAGACAAATGCTTAACTTTTTAAATAAAACATGTTTTCTTTTCAGGGATCTGATATCATAACTAGTAGGCTAAATTGATATTTTGACAGGTTGAGACAGGAATAGATATTAAATCAGAATTCCTTTGAAATACACCATTAAAGCATTTTAAACATCAGAGACAAAAAATGGCAGTCATTATACATCCGAGAGTATGCCTTATCAAACCATGAACATAAGCTGTTCTGTTCATAATGGAGGAGGAGTGTAATAATTATTCAGTGTGTGGATTCTTATCTGACCTGCCCAGCTGAAGAACAAATCCCAAGTTATATTTCAGGCAATCCATTACATGAATGCAGGGGGCCGATTCATTCACCTGTATGGCAGTGGTTTTCTAAAAAGAAGTTACTGGAGTGCCTTTTTGACATGGAAAGCTTTTTACAAAGCTACTTCTGCCTTTTAAAATACATTGCTTTTACTGCAATCCAGTGTTATCTCCTTTGTTACTCTTGCAGCCCCCTTGTCCTCTTTCTACTCCTCCTGTACCTTGTCCTGGATAGTCTTGAAAGTCGCTTGATGAAGTGACTTGCTGGATGACATTGGAAAATTACTTTTTGGTGATTGCTTGGTCACCCTGAAGCTTAAAATCTTACACGACATCATTCTGTTTGCTCGGATATGAATCGTTATGAAGATACATCATGTTGTATCTGGTTTTGCATTACATGGACAATTGGGGCACAGATCTACATGTATGACACACATTTTAATTTGGGGACAACTTTCAAACTTCTGTTTTCCTCTTTAATATTCAGCAATACATAAAACCAATATTTTAAGCACAACTGAAATTTAAAGGCCTTAGCTGCACACAATACTTTGGCAATACATTCAAAGATTTAAGTCTCCAGTCTGGCTGTTTAAATAGACACTTAAATATGATGATCTGACCCTGTTGTTAGCGTGTAGGGCTATGCAAATACAGACAATTAATTGGGCTTTGAAGATACCTTGGCTAATGTGAGGAATAAAGAATAGACTTTGGCTCCCATATGTCTCAGAAAATGGCAAAAGTCAACACAGGCACTTACGAACCAGCACAAAACCTACACAAAACAGTTCAAGTCTCAGTGGGCCCACAGAAATTAAAGGATTAATGATGTGAGCTGTTACTTTTTGAAGGAAATTCAGCTCTTCTGCCATTTCCACTAAATATTTTTCCTGAAATTTTGATGAAACTACATAAGGCTTTCACATTTGTTTGTACTGTCTTTATGTACCCCTAAGGCTGCACGCCATTGCGTGGAGGCCATGGAGGATGGGGAGAGGAAGGGGATAGCTTCTGATGCTCACTTCTTGGTGCTCTTTGCCGAGAAGTCTGAAACAGCTTTATTAAGAAAGCTAAAAATTACTAGTGCCCAACCACATCTGTTACTGATGGGTGAATTATCTGGATTCAATACTTCTCTACCCTGCTAAAAATCTTTTTATTCTATTTTACTAAACTTAAATGAAGCAAGAAGAAAAAGCTTTTTTTTTTTTTTTTTTCAGAAAAACGTAGCTCCTTTGTTGCAGATAGAGTAATGGCATTGTTGGAATTGCAGCGAACAGTATAACCGTGTGCCCCAGTAATGCAGTATTGCCACTGCTGCTAAGAAGGCACAAGTGTTACAGGGAGCTTGTCCAAGGACGGAGGGTCGTCAGCTTGCAGCTTTGTTTCCCAAGGTTTAGCTGTGACAGCAGTCTCTCAAATTGATCAGGTTTCTAAGGCTCACCGGTTTTACTTGTGTGGTGCAACTATAGCTTTATACAGGTAGCAAAACCAGGCAGTTATTCTATGTAGAAGTAGGTATTTACGACTCTAACGTAATGATGCAGTGGAGAGAAGAACTTTTTGCCTCATACTGCAGCAGAGGCCTTAAGCAGCAGAGAGACGGGATGCGGTGCAGAGGAGAGCAGGTGTGGGATGAGAAGGGACAGGGTGCAGGCTGGCACTGCTGTAAACAACTCACCCATGATCAGCTAAAGAAACTCAGGCGTGGAGCTGGACAAAACTGGTTTTATGGGTAGCAAAGAGGACAAAGAAATAATATCTAACACACATAAAAGTCACCACCTATAATAGATTTGGGTGTAATGCGGAGCTGCAAACTAATGGAGAAAAAGAAAGGTGTGAAAACGTGTTAGCAAACATGCAGAAAAGACCCCAGGTGAATCCCAGAGTGAGGAAGAAGGAAGCACCCACATGAACATCCTGATCCTCCCAGGGAAGGACTCCAGATGTCAACAGTCCACTGCAGTCCCCACCTCCTCCCCCAAATGATGCCACTGCCCTAAAGGCCCAGAGGAGCAGCAGAAGGGTAAGCATTAGCACCAGGAAAAGGGGTAGAAACTGAGAATTGAGTATATATCAATTTTAACTACATTAATCTTCTTTCCTTTCTGTAACAATTAGGTCTGGAATAATAAAGATAAGGCTTTTAAGATTACATTTATTCTCACAACATATTTTAGCTTTACTTTTAGAAAAGGTATGCTTTCTCTTTGCCCACAAACAATTTTGAGTTTAGCAATAGGAAATAGATTTTTTTATTATTATTTTAAGTGTAGTAAAGGTGTAGTAAATCACAGGCAGAGAATTATTTTCACTGGCCAGGGCAACTAAAAAATATAGTATCTGAAACTGTAATTGTTAGCCTGGTTTAAAAGCTTAGATATAGAAATAATCAGTAGGCAGGTCAACTCTTTCAGCCTTTTGTTCTTCCCTATTGAGTGTGCCTACTTGTTAAGGATTTCAGTGATGGTAATCCACACTGAATGCTGCTCTTTACTTTCTAGGTCTTTATTCAAAATAAAACTGATTGAGAGACATTTTGTTCCTACCAATTAAGGGGGTGGGGGGGTTTAATACAAGTGAAAAGAAAGAGCTATGAACAGTCCCAGGGAAACATGCAAATCTCAAGAGCTGTGGGAGAAGATGAAGAGGCAGGATTGAAGAGCTGTAGGAGAATATGAAGAGGGAGGATTGAATGGTAAAAGCAAAAGGAAGAAAAGAGAGGAAAACCAATTCAAATTAAAAGAAAATCCGAGGTTCAAGGCAAAAAACTGTTTTGTGTTACCTTCATTGCACTAACAGGTAAAGAAGATAAATGAAATTTATGAATTAATGAAATTAATGAAACCCCTGGAAATTAATTAATTGAAATTAAAGTTAGCAAAAAAAAGCCCTCATTCAAGTAGAGGAAGCCCACAGAAGTCAAGGGGGTTCTGCCATCGATATTAGAGGGTACCTGTAGTGCCTCCTATGGTTTTCATTCCTACTGTGAAAGGTTTTGTGAAATAAAAGAGAATGGTGAAGACTCTGTAGAAAGTTTAAAAAGAAAACCTGGTTTTCAAAGGTACCCAAACACAGGTAGTAACTTCATAATAGAAGACTGATTTCTTGTAGGTATCACTGCATTTCATTCAGAAAGATATACTTTAAAATGTGTCCAGTCATCAAAGAAGTACCCATGAGTTCAGACAAGAGCTTGAGGCAACAATCTTGTTCATTTGAACAACAGGCTCTTTTGTCAGACTTAGGAACTGACAAACATAACTTTTTGTTCACTGTAGTACTAATTACGTCTGCCAAGTACTCACCTCCCTGTGGAAAGAACTGAGAGTAAATCTCTTTAAAGGTTTCTTCATTGACAACGCCACTGGGGCATTCCTGAAAAAAAGTGAAAGACAAGAAATGAATACCATCCAATCTGGTCCACTCAAATCATCTGTTCATGAGACCATACAGAATATGTATTTGACTCTGAGAGCTTACCATGTCCGATTTTTCACTTTCAACCAAATATTAATGCATTAAATGTTTATCACGTTGAAGTACCTTCCTAAAGAGTTCCCATGGGACAAAAATTTCTTCTGTGCCATATATCTCAGCTTCAGTCTTGAGACCTGAGTGACAGACATGAGCAGCAACCACTGTGCTGCAGTGCGTGGAGCTACCAGTGTCGCTGTGGGCCATGGGTAGCTGGTCCCGCAGCTGCAAGCAGCATTTGTATGGTATGGAAACAAAGCAGGAATGTAAACTGCATTTGCAGTTAGGTATTACTGATATAACATGCAGAACATTCCACCGGAAGAGTTATATTCAATGAATCCAAAAGATCCTGCCACAGAAGATCTTATTCAAACCTTGCAGATCCTTCTGCCTCTTACAACTTTTTCATAAACTGAAATATGTAAGAAAGAAAGAGCAGAAAGTGTCAGAGCAGAGCAATTACAAAGAAAATAAAAGGAAGTGAAGGAGAAGAAAAAAGAGGATTAGAGCAGTGACTTCACAAAAAAATGACTTGGGTAAAGAGGTAGGAAAAGCAGAAGGAATACTGTATTGTTTACTAAGTCACACATAAACATCAAAGACCAGACAGCCAGCTTCTAGTCCTGAATTTGTCAGACTGAGCAGATGACTTCAGGCAATGCACTTAATTCCTTTTTGCCTTAATTCCTTTTTGCCTTAATTCCTTCTTTAACACAGAGGGTGAAAAAAGCCTGGCAAGCTCTTTAAAAGGAAAGTATTTCTAGAAACAAAGGTAAGTAAGAAAAGACAAATTAAGTTTTAAGGTTCATACATTTATTTTTGTCTATTGCTGTGCTATTTGGACTGATGGCTCAAACCTGTGTGCTCCTAGTCCTAAACTGGGGAAAGGAAATAGCTTTAAATGAAGATAAAGAATAGTGTAACATCGTTTACCAGTGTAATAACAGCTTTTCCTGTGACAGCAAATGATATTTCTATTAGATCAAATAAGGAACACTGAGATATTCATAGTTGTGACAACTTCTGCTAAGGCACAAATAGTGTAATCTTGCTAATTGAGAGATGAATGCACTGCCTGGAAAAAACATCAGATCTGTAGATCTAGGATTATTTTGATTTATGTCACTTATCCTCAGCCAAAATCAGCTCTTCACCATAACTAAGCATGTGCAAACACGTAGTAAGAAAAAATCCTGTTTGATCAGAACAGACAGACAAACAGCAGTCACGGAGACAGAAGTACAAAATTACTTGTTCCTGGTCACAGAGGCTGTCACTGATGGAGGCAGAACTAGAGCACAGTTCTCTGTAAGACCAGATAAGTACTGACTGCTGGGCCACACTGCTTTTCAAACCAAAGCCTTTGGGGAACGGGAGGAAGAGTGAAATGAATCTAGCATCTCTACCCTTCATCAGGTAAGGAGCAAACTGTTAACTGAAGTGGCATCTCCTGTCATGTATTTGGGTGTGAAGGCATTCTAAAACGTCACTCTCTGCTTTACCAGCTCCCCAAAAGACTGTAGTCAGATGGTCTCATGTCTCTGTGGTCCCTAGCAGGTTTACTACGCTGCCTGTCTTTTTATCTGAAGCCTTCTGGAGTTCTATAAGTGCATGCAAAAAAGCAGTATTTTTACTTGTATTTGAAGCACAATAAAGAAAACATCAGTGAAGTGTTCAGATACTCACTGATGTAACATTATAGTTATTCATGTAGAAAATGTAACAAAGGTATTTGATAAGCTCCTCTTCCAAGCATACATTGGTATATACTCTACATCATTCCCAGACCTGCCCAAGGAGGAAGAGTGCAGCCTTCTCCCTGAAATGGGTGGGAGTGTGAAAGGACAATGCAGTATTTTAGAATTCAGAAAAAGAAGCCATGGCTTCTTTCTGTTTTGCGGGTAATTTCTTTTCAGACAAAAAGCTAGGCATATTGTGAGTGAACTAAAAAGAAAACCTGCCTATTTGAATTCATACAACTCTGATTTTGGTGTTTTTTTTAATTTTTCTGAGATGCTTAATAAATAATGAGTGACTGAATGTGCATTTAAGTTCATCTAACTCTATAGTTATTAACATGTAGTGATTCTCCTACCTTTCCCTTGGATGAGAAAGACATTCATGCTATGCTCATTTTGCAAAGAGTGCTCTCCCCTTTTTTACAGGAAATGCCAGCAACTCCAACTGTGTCAGTCCTTAGTCTGAAGCTGTGAAGAGTAAGACTCCCATTTTCTGACCGCATTTAAACGTTGTGATGTTAGAGGGGAATTAAAGGTACTCTGGAAAAATTTGTCTGATTTATGCCTTGTAAGTTCAAAATAAGTTAGCAGCCTGTTTTTAGAGAAATAAGTGATGTGAACACCTCATTTAAAGGTAGTACCTTTTTCTGTCACTTAATGAACTCCAGTTTCACCATACTGTTTGAAAGAAACATTGCTTGAAAAAGGCAACCTACTTTCACAGAATTACATATTAGAAGAGCCAGGAATGACCTCTTGTGTTTACCTAGGTTGACCATCTGTATTTTCCTATGCTCTTTACCACAGCATTGCCAGTAACACCTTACCTTTTCCATCCTTGGCGGTCTGTAGTAATGGCATCTTAATGACATTAATTAAAAATCTGTAATGCTGGCCAATTACTCTTATCAGAAATATCAGTTCAAACTTTTCTTTCTTTAGCTTGGATCTTTCCTCTGAGACTCTACAAGAAAGTGAACACTTCTGTTCTTAATAATTTTAGTCTAAATATATATGTAGCCAACATCATTTATCTCCAAGACTGCTCTTTTCTTGACTCATAAATCTGGATTTATTGTGTTTATCAGGAGATTTCTCTAGTTCAGTGAAAGAGATTTAATATTGCAATTGTTAAGTATGCCCCATGGCTTTACATCAAGTTATTGCTGACTTCTTCCATTGTATCAACTATAATTAAAAAAATCTTTCTAACCTTTCATTAAACTCTTATAAAAGAGAGCAAAATAATTAAATAGTTTGAAAGAAAAACGTGAGGCTTATTTAAGCCATTTCCTATATTCTTTTTTCCTCCAGCTGTATATAATTTATTTTGTTACAGAAAAATTCTGTTTGACAGTCTTTTAAAATTGCATTAATGATGTATTATATTTTCCTTCTGGAGAATAAAAGGAGGAAAAGTTAATCTTGAATGGTTTTTCCCGAGTCCAGTGCTCCCTCCTTTAAAGAGAAAATAATATAAACTGACAGAAAAAATGAGGCAGGGAATAATAAATATGATTCTGCCTTTTGATGATCTCTCTGGCTTGCAATTTTACTGCTGGGAAATTACATTTCCAGCACATGGTCTTATGAACCACTCCAAAACTTGTAAATTATTTACAAGATTCATGCTGTCTAAGCTGTCTTTTCTTCAGTATTTCTAAGAATACTGCAATAGGTGGGTTCTTCTTTACTACCTATCGATGCCCCTTTTAGACAAGAGGCAAACCCCAAAAGACACAAAAAAGGAGAAATAGTGAAAAGTAGGAAAGGGAATGAAGGAGAAACAAACTCAAAGCTCAGACATTTGTCTGCATAACAAACAATTTTGTATGATGGATAAAGCTGTATTAGGAGCTTTGGCAATTTTAAATATGTTTTAATTATAGTTTTTTGCACGACAGGTTCTCCATCCCATGCTTTACCCACTGTCAGTTTTCATTCTGCTTCAATTTAGATATATGTTCATGTCCATTGACTTAATTATCTCCAACTGATAATATTTGCTCTTTTTGCATGTACTTTTATTCTGACTGAAAATTTAAATTTTCCAAAAACACAGAACTTAATAGAAGAACACATACATAGCATGCATATACTTTAAAGCTAAGTCTACCAAAAATCCCACAAACTAAACCCACAGTGGCTTTTCATAGCCCAGTCCAGTTCCTAATTTTTCATTTGAGTATAATAGGGCTTTGATCAAAACAGTAGGAGAGTTTAACAAATGGCCTTCATGTAATAACATAATCTAGGCCAGATTAATAGTGAAGTCTGGGCCAAGAGACACCTCACGAAGCTCAACAAGAATTGCAGTGTTCTGCATCTGGGAAGAAATCATCCCTTGTCCCAGTACCAGCTAGGAAGTGACTGGCTGAATTGCAGCACTGCCGAAAAGGGTGTGGGGTTACAGTGGATGTCAAGCTGAGTATGGGCCCACAAAGAATTCTTACTGCGAATAAGGTAAACCGCCCACTGAGCCAAGGCCAGCAAGCTGAGGGAGTTACTCTCTCTGTCTACTTGGGACAGTCTTGGGGCCCTCCCAGGGATGTGGAGGAACTGATGAAGGTCCAGCAGAAGGCCGTGAAGACTACTAGGGGTGAGAGCACATGGCCAACAAGGAGAGCTGGGCTTGTTTGGTCTAGGCCATCGCTAAGGGATGAGCTAATGGCAGCCCACCTGAAGGGCAGTAACAGAGATAAAGGAACCAAACTCTTAGGAGGGGCAGACAATTTAACAAAGTTCAGTGGCCCCAGTCTGAGGTTTGTGAGCTCACATTAGACAGCAGGAAAAACTTTTTCACTCTTCTTGGTACCCTGAAGTGTGGTGATGCTTGAGACAGCCTTTAATTTCAGTGAAAATTTGTGCTGTTGAAGAGCCTTGGAAAGTTGTCTGTGTATGTGGCAGAGCTTTTCTAAGGGATGAGAGGCTTTGTTTGGTAAGTGGACCTTGATAATTTGCCATTATGAACAGAAACGTACTGACCAGGACAGAAGGGTGAGGGTTAGAGACTTGAGACAATAGGTTCTGAAGCTTGTGGTTTTTCAGTCTTTAATGCTTTTAAGGTTTATGAAAATTAACTTTTAATTTTTTGCATTCCCTTCTTCCAAAGCTGCATACCTAAGGTTGATTTAAATTTGCTATATCTAATGTTTGTTC